GCGCCCGGCCGTTTTTCTTAAATGTTGAAGAAAAATAAGACTGAATTCTGATATCAAAGAGTTAAGGAGGGTGGGTGTGGTGGCTCACACCAGTAACCCTAACACTGTGGGGCTTGAGGTGAGGAGTTCAAGACCAGCCTGGCCAACGTGGAGAAGCTCCATCTCTGCCAAAAAACACACAAAAAATTAGCTGGGCGTAGTGATGGCATGCACCTGTATTCCCAGCTCCTCAGGAGGCTGAGGCAGGAGAATCCCTTGACCCAGGAGGCGGAGGTTGCAGTGAACCAAGATCACACTATTGCACTCCAACCTGGGTGACAGAGTGAGACCTTGTCTCAAAAAGAAAAAAAAAGAGTTAAGGATAGGCCGGGCACAGTGGCTCATGCCTATAACCCCAGTGCTTTGGGAGGCTGAGGCTGGTGGATTGCTTGAGTCCAGGAGTTTGGGGCCAGCCTGGACAACATGGCACAACCTCATCTCTACCTGTAATCCCAGCACTTTGGGAGGCCAAGGCGGGCAGATCGCTTGAGGTCGGGAGTTCAAGACCAACCTGGCTAACATGGTGAAACCACATCTCTACTAAAAATACAAAAATTAGTTGGACATGGTGGCATGTGCCTGTAGTCCCAGCTCCTTGGCCAGCTGAGGCGTGAGAATTGCTTGAATCGAGGAGGCGGAGGTTGCAGTGAGCCGAGATCATCCTGCTGCACTCCATCCTGGGCAACAGCGGGGGACTGTCTCAAAAAAAAAAAAAGATAGATAGGCATGGTGGTGCATGCCTGTAAGTCACAGCTACTTGGAGGCTGAGATCGGAGGATCACTTGAACCCAGGAGGTCGAGGCTGCAATGAGCTGTGATTGCGCCACTATACTCCAGCCTGGGTGACAGAGCAAGACCCTGTCTCACCACAAAAAGGAGTTAAGAAGAGAACCACCTAAGCAGCCAGATGGAAGCTCTCTGTCATTTGGCACTTCTTGGTTTTTTGCTTATTAAGCCCAGGCTCCAGCCATGATGCACGGACTCCACTTTTTCATGGAATAAATTTGAGTCTTCTTCAGTTGCTCCAGCCTCATGCACTAGCTGATTATGATAGCTTACAATTTGGAGTTAACAGTTCATTCATACTGCACCTGATGCCACTGGAATGCCTCCTTTTGTGAAATGTAATTTAATTCACCTTACTGGTAAAGGTGAATCTTTTTATCTTTAAGAATAAACCGAATGTGTTGTTCTACCAAATTTCATTAAATCTGAACTGTACACTTTTTTCTTTCTCTCTGTCACCCAGGCTGGAGTGCAGTGGTGTGATCTTGGCTCACTGCAACCTCCACTTCCCAGGCTCAAACAGTTCTCGTGCCTCAGCTTCCCGAGTAGCTGGGACTACAGGCATATGCCACCACACTAGGCTGATTTTTGTATTTTTAGTAGAAACAGGGTTTTGCCATGTTGGCCAGGCTGATCTCAACCACCTTGACCTCCCAAAAGTGCTGGGATTACAGCGTTGTGCCACCATGCCCAGCCAGCTATAAATTTTTTTTTTTTTTTTTTTTTTCAAGATTTTATCTTTGAATCTGGGATGCATCTTACAACTCAGGGCATGTCACAGTTTGATTGGCAGCATTTTTCTCTTGTACATAAAATTACGGCATTTACAGTCATAAGCACCTTAGATTCTTTGAAATGCAGTTATCTGCTATTGTGGCATTCATTTACTTTCAAGTCCAGGCAAATTGACACAGAAATTCCATACATCCTTAGGAGTCATTCCTTTTCATTTCAACAAAAACATCAGAGAACTCAGGGTTTTGCAGATAGTGAGTAGGGGAAGTTCAGCAGATAAAGAAGATTCCAGAAAACCAGGGCGGCGGAAGGGGCATACAGGTCTGCTCCAGTGCAAAGGACTGAGTGATGACCACACAGGTCTTTTTTTTTTTTCTTTTGTGAGATGGAGTCTTGCACTGTCGCCCAGACTGGAGTGCAGTGATGTAATCTCGACTCACTGCAACCTCCGCCTCCCAGATTCAAGCAATTCTCTGAGACACCATCATCTCTGGCTAATTTTTTTATTTTTAGTAGATATGGGGTTTCACCATGTTCCCCAGGCTGGTGTTGAACTCCTGACCTCAGATGATTTGCCCACCTCAGCCTCCCAAATTGCTGGGATTACAGGCATGAGCCACCGAGTCCAGCCTCACACAGGTCTTTAGGTGGCTGGTGCCACAGGGTGGACTTCACTCAGGCCCAGTCAGAGCAGCTCTTCCTACCTGGCCTATCAAGAGGGTTCAGGTGCTGGTTTTCACAGTGAGAATATGGGAAATTCTCTGGCATCTTATTTTCTTTTTTTTTTTTTTTTTTTTTTTTTTTTTTTTTTTTTTTTTTTTTTTTTTTTTTTTTTTT